ATCTTTGATTTGTCCCTAATGAAACCCACCACCTTGAATAGTCGCTGGCACCCATCAGCCATCAATAAAGATTTATCTAATTGAATTAGAATCTAGACACACCCTGGAAAAATTTTATAACTCAAAATATAAATGGCAAATCCTAAAATCTTTGGGGTTTCCATAAAAGAACAAGAAACAGAACTGTTATCTACCATTAACAGTTTGGATCCTGGAAAACAAAGAATAACATCTTCATAGTTAGCAAGGAAACAGATGTCGGACCTACAATCTAAACCTGACCAAAGTACCAGTTATTTGTGAAGGCAATAATAGGTTATTTTCAGAAATGCAAGAACTTAGAACGTTTACTATCCATACTCTGTGGATGACAAAATTATTCAAATATATTTTCCAGCAAAAATAAAAAGAAGTCCAAGAAAGAGAACAACATGGAATTCAAGAAACTGAAACCCCAAAGAAGTGAAAGAAGCCAGCAAGAAATTAAGAGGATTTGTCATATTGGGATGCTCAAAAGAATCTCCCTGGACCAACTGAGTTTAAATGACACAAGGATTTACATTTATTAATATTCTCTGGCTCCAATCACATTAATTCCTTTTTTTATAATGGGGGTTTTCTGGAAAATGTGAAAACCTCCCAAACAAATTCTATTAATAAAAGAGCTATAACACTTAATTGGTTTCTTGGTGCATAATATTTACATACTCATGAAACTGAATATGCTATTTAAAAGTTTTCCAATTTTGAAACAACTATAGGCAGAACCAAGAAAACTTACTTAGAATTACAAAATAAAATGTAAATGTTATAAACCTTTACATTGTAAGAATAATAACTGACAAAAATCTCAGAGTGGGGGGATGGGCAGAGAAGGTACTTCAAATCCTTTTTTTTTTTTTTTTCAAGAAATAAAATTGAAATCTCCTCCCCAGTCCCAGTTCTCTCTCTCCATCTCTAGGAGCAATCCCTATGCCGAAATTGGAGCATCTTCAGTCCATATTTATATACTTTCCATATAAACAATATATAGTTAATCTTTTAAAATTTAAAGTTTACATGAATATCCTTTCATGTTTTTCTCTTAACATTAAATTTTTAAATACACTGATTTCTAAACACTTGTTCATTCATTTTCACTGTTATTCTATTGTATGACCACACCACAATTTATCTTTCATTCCCCCACAACAGACCTCTGAGTTGTTTTTAATTTTTTTCACTACTAGAAACAATGTTGTAGTGAACATCCTTGTGCACATGTTCAGAAGTTTCTCCAGGGCAGTGATGTTTAAAAACAAAGTGGCCACGTCCTGGGTGTGTGTGTGTTGTTTTGAGCCACTTTGTACCTGATTGGTCCAGGGCTAGCTCCAGCCAGGTTCTCCACAGACCTGACGAGCTTGGAAAGCAAAGAGCCCTAGTGGAAAGCAAGCACCACATGTGCTCACCATCAACTGGTACTAACTGCGCAACATGTATGTGCTCACATGGAGGTCATATTCATCGGGTGCCGGGCAGGTGGGAGGGGTGGACTCACAGCTAATGGGTGCAGAGCACACTGTCTGGGGGATGGACACGCTTGTAGCCTGGCTTGGGCGGTGCAAAGGCAATATATGTAACCAAAATGTTCATACCACCATGATATTCTGAAATTTAAAAATAATAATAAAAAGAAGAGTCACTTAGGTTGGCTTCAATCAGGAATTTCTCAAGTTTTGGTGTGCCCAAGAACTACTTAGGAAACTTGTTTAAAATGTAGTCTCCCATGTGCTCGCTTCGGCAGCACATATACTAAAATTGGAACGATACAGAGAAGATTAGCATGGCCCCTGCGCAAGGATGACACGCAAATTCGTGAAGCGTTCCATATTAAAAAAAAAAAAAAATGTAGTCTCCCAGATTTCTGATTTGTTAGCTCTGCATAAAGCCTGAGAATCTGAATATCTTAATAGATTCCTGAGAGATTCTGATACACGTTATCTCCAGCATACACTCTGAAGAACACTGTCCTAATCCACGCAGACAATATCTTTACACCCAAACTGGACATAAACTAAGGATGTAGTTTATTCCTCTGTTATCTGCAGAGGAATCATTGCTCCCAGAACATGCTGGTTGGAGAAAATCAAATCTCAAATAATGATATAGAATGGCTGCAATTCTACAAGCAAGAGTTTTTCCCCCTTGTCTGAGCCCAGGCCAAACATACAGGCTTTGTTCTTATCTCCCTGTGTGCAGGGGAATTTTTTGCTGGTTCACCCTTTTATCACAGTTATATGTCACCTTTAAAAGCCCTAGCTCTCTGCAGAGATTGTCAGTTTCAATTTCCTGTGTCCAGCGAATTCAAAGCCTGGTCTCCTAACCTGGTGTAAACATAAAAACCAAGTTTCCAGGTTACTGAACCAACAACTACATTGCTCATAGACTCTAGCCCCCAGAATTTAGTTTTTTCTTAGTCTCTGCGGCTTCATGTAACTTTCTTAGAGGCTTGGCTATGTGTTTAAATGACTTATTCTATTTTATCCAGAATTTTTAATGTGTTTGATAGTGTTTTCATATTATCTAGTGCAGATAGCTTGGTTTTTAACTTGAAAAATTAATCAGGTGTAGTCAGTCATGCCTATAATCCCAGTACTTTGGGAGATTGAGGTTGGAGGATCACTTGAGGACAGGAGTTTGAGACCAGCCTGGGCAATATATAGCAAGACCCCATCTCTACAAAAACTTTTAAAAGTTAGCCAGGCATGGTGGCACATGCCTATAGTCCCAGCTACTCAGGAGCTTGAGGCAAGAGGATCTCTTGAGCCCAGGAATTTGAGGTTACAGTGAGCTATGATGATGCCACTGCACTTCAGCCTGGGCAACAGAGTGAGACCCTGTCTCTAAAAAAAAGAAAAGGAACTATCAAGTGAGAAGGACCCCAAAAAAGGCATTTTCAGAATTGCAAGGTCTCAAAAAATGTATCTCTTATCAATGGAAAAGAAACCAGACTCTGTAAAATAACTTAAGGAGATTTATTCTGAGCCAAATTTGAGAACCATGGCCTGGAACCATGCTCAAGAAGCCTTGAATAAGTGGTTGGGTTATCGTTTGGTTTTATACATTTTAGGGAGATAGGAATTACAGGTAAAGTCATAAATCAATACATGGAAGGCATACATTGGGGGCTTACAACTCATAGGTGGGTTTAGGGATTCTTTAGTTGACAATTGATTGTGAAAGAGTTAGGCTTTGTTTAAAAGACCAGGAGTCAGCAGAAAGAAGATAAGGGTTTTTATCTTTCATGTGATGCTATACAGGAATCAGGTTGGGAAGTAAACTACATTATATTGGGTTAACAAAACCTGTTTAGTGAGATTTTATCATTTGTAGGAGTGACTCCCCAGGCCCCCTTAGAAAGGAATTTTTGGGCAAAAGAGATCAGAGTTCAGTCCTCACTCCTATGAGCCTTTTCTCAGAAAGCTACTGCAGAATGTACTCCACCAAAACAAGGGGGTACACAATGCAGAGAAAGACATGGGATTCAGGAGACAGGAATGAGGTCAAGGTATCCCCGGGATGATGGGGTTACAGCTGTGCAGCAGGCCTGGAGGACAAGCAGTCCCATGTAGGGCAGGGCTGCTGTCTCTAGAAAAAGATGAAATTACTAGGTTACCTAGTGTGTTTCAAGGTATTAAGAGAAGAAAAACTCTTTCACCAGAGTTTTAGGCTGAAGTGAGAGAAAATAGAAAACTAATAAAGCAGCCTCATGTTCTATTGTAGAAAGTCAATAGATAACATCTAAACATAAAAAATTAAGAAATACCAATATAAACATGTTATTTAAAAATATAGGGCCAAATGAAGGCATTAAAAGATATTTCTTTTGGGAGCAAAAATCAGGTGTGGAGAAGGTGGGGGAGAGAATTCTTGTTTTCATTACAAGCCTTTTAAATCTATTTTTATTATTTTATTAAATACACACATAACTTTGACAAGTAAATAAGTACAATGAGTATGATGGAATAATACAGCATCACTCACTTTATGTTTGAATTTTACAGCAAGATCTTAAAGATAAGTGTGTTTGCATAAGTATTCAAGGGATTAGTGGTTTTTCCAAAGGCCTCTCTTCATCTTTTGACATTCAGATCACCCTCTTTGAAGCACTTGATCACGTCTTCATCCTTGTCACTTTGCTCTTCCTTTGTTAATTGTTTTGCAATCAAATTCTTGTTTTTACACTTAAGCTGTTGTCCGACATCACTTTAATCAACTTGATAAAATTGCAGTCCCGCAATCCAGGAGAGGCTGGCTAGCTCTGAGAAAGAAAGCCTTTGCCACGCACGATGGGCAGAGATGGACTCTGGGACTAATTGGCCAGTTCATTAGTGAACGTTTGGGAGGGTTGATGGCTTTTGCTACTTTAAGTAAACTCTAACTGTGGGATCTTGAATAGCGAATACTTGAACAATGAGAATTGTGTGTATGGTAACCTCACTGTCACTGTCAAATTCACTCATCACACGCTGGTTTACCACCCACTCGACTCCAGTGTGGGAGAACATGGGCCAAAGGCAGGAGGTAGAAGGGAGACATAAGAAGACAGAGGATGGGGACTAAATAAGCTGTATATTTTATAAGCAGCCTCTAGGTTCTGGCGGGCTAACTGAATCCCTACCCAAACAATCAAATTTAAAACTCATTCATTGAACACACGCTTACATAGTGAGTGAATACAATGTGCTGCAGCTGTACTAGGCACCGTGGGTATAAAGATGGAAAGGGTGAATAAGTGACCAACTCATTCGCGGTCTACAGGGGACACATACACAAATGATCACAGCTCAGTTGCTCTAGTGAGAGTGTGAATAAGGTAAAAATGCACAGGAGATCTTAGAGGAGAAAATGTCTTTCCTCACCCATCTCTAGGATTATACCCACTGAGGCACCTTTGACAAAAGACAGATTAACTAGAGAAAAGCAAACAAATTTATTTACATAAGTTTTACATGACACAGGAGCCTTTGGAAAGGAAGACTCAAAGAAACAAGGAAATACCTATTTTTGTGCTGAGCCTGCAGAAGTGGACGGCTGTGAGGAAGGAGGACTGGACAAGGCGGGTGTGATCTAACGGTAACAAACTGAGGGGAGTTAGCAAGGCCAGTTCGTTCAGAGTCTTGTTGTCCGTGTCTCTGAGGATTAGGATGTTCCTACTGTCCCTTTCCTCTGGGTTTCGGGAGGGTAACTGTGGCGTGAGGAAATTATGGCTTGCTTTGGGGAGAAGGGCCAGAGGGAAGTGAGAGTGACCTTCCTGCTTCTGCTGTTTTGTCAAATGCCAAGGTGCCATATTTGGAGGTCATGTGTCCTGAACCCCACCAGGAGGAAGTGATTAAATCAGCCAGGAAGGCAGGCAAATCAGAGAACGTGACCCCCCCCAACTCCCACCAGGGCAGAGCCTGCGTTTCAGGAAGAAGGCACTTAGAGAAGGTGGAGTGGCCCAGAGGCTACAATCTCATAGCACATCTAGGAACCTCCAGCCACCCCCCTGGGGCAGGAGTAGGACTAGCGTCTTAACCAGAGGAGTGACAGGCTCAGCTTGACCATTCTGTAGCTCAGTCCCATAGGTGTGCAGAGAATGAGGTGGGGGAGGGAAATGGGCACAAAGAGTGGGGAAGAGCAGTCATCCAAGCCAGCAGGGCTACACTGAAAGCAGAAAGGGGGAACCAGTCAGGAAACCGTCTACAGAGTTTGGTGCTTGCCTGGATGTGGCAGCCGGGACCAGAGAAGAATGTAGGGATGACAGCTGGCAGGGAGAAGGAAAGGGGAAGGGAACTAAGGGGACTGAGGTACACTGAGACCTATAGAGACCACTGTGTTTCTCCCTGAGCTGGGATGGGGTCCTCCTTCGTGCGCTTGTTGCTGCCCAAATAAATCAGGTTTATAAACTAGAAAGACAGGAGAAAAACTGGTGCTAGTGTGTAAATAAAGATCTATTATATGCTTGACCATTACATTCAGCGTCTTCTGACCTCAAGAATTCTACAAGGTACTGTCTCATCAGGAACACATGGAGTTGCAAGAGCAGAACCACACTCATACTGGTTTAAGCAATGTAGACATTTGAAAATCTGACATCACAATAACCCTGAAAGAAGGTTCCTTTTTAGCTGCAGTGGTTAAGGATGTCATTAAAAACCCAGCTTCTTTATGTCTTCCTAATCCCCATCCTCAGCATGTAGGCTTTTGCCCTTAAGCTGTAATATGAGGCTTTTTTCCTCCTGGCTTTTATATTTAACTGGACTACAAAATCCTCCAAAAGCCTGCTTCCAGACTGTTCCATTTCATTGCCATAATTGAGCACATGCTCGTTCAGAACCAATTTCTAGCAGGGGAATGGGCGGCTTGGACCAATCATGGCTTTCTCTGAGGCCCGGACAGTGTTCCTTCCTTGTGCATGTTGCTGCCCAATAAAATCAGGTTCTATAAACTAAGAAAGAAGAAGAAATAACTGTCAGGTGATGGTTGACAGTCACATCCCCAATTCAGGACATCCTAGGAAAGAGACAAAAAGAAAAAAAAATGATCCAGGTCAATCTCCTGCTAAATACCTCTTGGTAGCATCTACATTTGGAAAGATAATAGAGAAGCCTAATCTACACGATGTGTTTTCCAGGGCTGAGCTGGTACTTTATGGTAAGCATGTCTGGGATGGATGCATTTATGGGACCTTACCCATTGAAAGCATTAGTGTCGGCTGTGTAATTACCGAGTATAAAATGGAAGTGTTTCCTGACCCCTTCGTGTAAGTGATGTCCTGCTCGCATCCCTTAAAGACCTCATATGTCCATTCTGGGCCAGGGTGCGTCTTAATGTGGTGAGCGAGGACCTGCAGCTGCCCTGGTGGCCCCAGACTTCTCCATGGCATGGTCAACCCAAGTCTCAATACTAACTGTATCGTTTGAATTACTAGTAAAGGCCAACACTGGGTAAGATTTCTGATTCTTGTGAGTCTGATTGAACAATCCTATCTTTTGTGTTTTCCTAGGTAAGTAAACAACAATGTTATTCTCCACATTTGACAGATGGAGAAATGGAAGCTTGGCAAGCTTTAAAGCCTTGCCCAAGCTCCCCTGAGCTGGTGACGAGCAGACCAGGAGGGCGACCGTGGCTCAGTGACTTTCCACCACGGTGTGCAGCTGACAGGTGGGTGGTGCTATTACCGGAGACAGGAATGTAATTAGATCACTCCCCTCATTTCTCAACGCAGTCATACGACACACACGACACGGTTCTCTTGCTTTCTGATATGATTGATCTGTTGAGGCCACAGGCTGAAGTCAGACTGCCAGACGTTCTCCCCACTTCACTTCCAGGATTTCAGCTGGAGTTTTTCTCTTTAAGCAGCAGCGATTTACCTTATAAGGAATTGAAAGAGGTGCCAAGGAAGGAGACGTAGTCAGCGCAGTCTGACATGTCTGTAGGCCACCAGTAGGAGATTTCTATTCGACATTCAAATACCTGAAACAAGTCTTATGCTAAGAAGAAGGTGATCAGGGCTGCAGATACAGAGCTGGGGGTCACCAGCATTAGCTGAAATCATGGGGAAATCGATGAGCTCATGCGGAACGGGGGTGGGGATGAGACACAGTGGCACCATGGGCAATGCCACTGCCCAAGGGTAGGGGCAGGAGAGAAACTTGTGACACAGCAAAGGAACAAGGAAAGGTTAGCGAAGTGTGAAAAAACGTAAAACTGTGTCACAAATTCCAGGCAAGGGGAGTTTCAAGGAGTGAATGGTCAACTTTCATACCCAATGAGGCCAAATAACACGACAGAAAAAGACTCATGGACTTGGCAGTTAGAGCTCACCAGCCAGTGGCCCTAGAGCCACTCAGGAAGTGGTGGCCGCAGCCAGACTGCCGTGGCTGAGGAGCGTGAGGAGATGAAGAAGTGGAGTGAAGAAACTGTGACAGGAAGGAAGAAAGAACAGCAGACACTCAGAGGCTGGAGCCGGGGCTTTGAGGAAATCGTTTCTGTTAGTGGAATAGCTATTAAGATGTATCTGTGGGCATCAGGGAAAGGAACCAGTAGAAATAAAGACATTAAGGTCAGCAGAGGGAAAATGGACAGCTAGTCTAGCAATACAGCAAGGGAAAGAACTCAAGAGCAAAGGTAGAAAATTTGCCTTGAAAAGCAGGGAATCGCTGAAGCTGGAGGGAGAGGGATTAGCAGACCTACTTATAGCTGGGCTGCTTTCGTTTCTGTTGGCCGGGAAGTAAGCAGAGATGGGTGAAGTTAAATAAATGTGTTCACATAATCAGTCAGGTCTATATTTATTTCGCTGTAACCAGAGAGGCAGCATATTCTATCGATGGGGACTCTGAAACCCAATCTGCTGCTTTGAATTTCATTTCTGGCCATGACATGCTTTTTCGTGGAAGGTCATATTTATATCACTACAGCAGAATCACAGCAACTGTGCTCAGTCCGGCTTATTAAAAAGATTCAGAACATGTGGGACAGATAATTCCAGCTCTTCATTGTCCTTGGAGCCCTAAAATTATTTTTATTAACGCAACGGCAGCCTTGATGATGTGGTATAGACTGGAATAATTTTAGTTATTTATCTTATATTTGACTTCATCAAAACAATATGTGAGACAGCTAATGACAGAAGTACAACCAGAGAGTTAAAATAGATTTCAAAGAAAAAAAATCACAACTTGGGTGAAAATTTAAACAATAGCAACTACAGAAATGTAAATTTGAAAAATGAGGCACCAGGTGTTAAATGAACAAAAGTGAAGTCAAATTATTAAGTCTGGCTGGGCACGGTGGCTCACGCTTATAATCCAAGCACTCTGGGAGACTGAGGTGGAAGGATCATTTGAGCTCAGGAGTTCAAGACCAGCCTGAGCAAGAGCAAGACCCAGTGTCTACCAAAAATTAGCCGGGCATGGTGGCACATGCCTGTAGTCCCAGCTACTCGGGAGGCTGAGGCAGGAGGATCGCTTGAGCCCAGGAGTTTTAGGTTGCTGTGAGCACTATAGCACTCTAGCCCAGACAACAGAGTAAGACTCTGTCTCAAAAAATATATATATATATATTAAATCTATGTAGGGTAGACTTTAGGAAAATAGTAATGCAGAAACTACCATCAGTATTTAAGTTGGTTCAGTTCTTTGAGTACTTGCTAACATTATTGAGCACTTAGTTTACATCAGGCACTGTTCTAACATGTATTCCACTAATTTTCATTAACCCTCTGAGGTAGAACAACTATTGTCATCCCCATTTTCCAAATAAGGAAATTAGGGCACAGAAAAGTTAAAAATCAGCCAAGGTCATATAGCAAATAAGTTGCCCAACTACAATTCAAATCCTGGTAGACAGATTTTAAAGCTTTTGCTCTTAACTAACGCTTTAAACCACTTGCTCTTAACTAACACTCTATACCAGCAGTTCTCAAACTAGTCTCAGGACCTCTTAACATTCTTGGTCTCAGGCTCCCTTTATATTCACAAAAATTATTGAAACTTTGATTATAAAGCAGTCAACAAATCAGGAATAGAAGGAAATTATCCTCAACATGGTGAAGAGCATTTATGAAAAATTCACAGCTAACATCATACTCAATGGTGAAAGACTAAAACCTTTTCCCTTAAGATCAGGAATAAGACAAAGGATACCTACTTTGATTTTCCATTTTGCAGATGGGAAAACTGATGAAATGCCTACTTTCATCACTGCTAATCAACGCTGTATGAGAACTCCTAGCCAGAGCAATTAGGCAAGAAAAAGAAAAAAATGCATCCAAATTGGAAAAGAGGAAGTAAAATGATCTTTATTAACAGATGACATGATCCTATATATGGAAAATCCCAAAGAATGCACAAAAAAAGCTATTATAGCTAGTTAATGAATTCAGCAAAGTTGAAGGATACAAGAGCAATACCCAGAAATCTGTTTTATTTCTATATACTAGCAATGAACAATCTGAAAATAAATTTTTAAAAAATTCCCTTTATAATAGTATAATAAAGAATCAAATTAGCCAAGGAGGTATAAGACTTATATGTTGAAACTACAAAACATTGCTGAAAACAAAATAAAGATCTAAATAAATGGAAAGACATCCTGGGTTCATGGACTAGAAGACTTGATATTATTAATATTAAGATGGCAGTACTACTTAATGTGATCTACAGATTTAATGTAATCTCTTTGAAAATCCTAATGACTTTTTTTTTGCAAAAATTTAAAAACTGATAATAAATTGATAAGGAATTGCAAGGATTCCTGTTTAACCAGAACATCCTGAAAAAGAAAAATAAAGTTGTAGGACTCACATATCCTAATTTCAAAACTACAAAAGTATAAGAATCAAGCTAGTGCAGTACTGGCATAAGGATAAATATAAAGATTAATGAAATAGAATTGAGAATCCAGAAATAAACACAAACATCTATGGTTAATTGGTTTTCAACAAGTGTGCCAAGACCAAAAAATAGACTTTAGCGAATGGTGCTGGGATGACTGGATATCTACATGCAAAAGAATGAAGGTAGACCTCTGCCTCATACCATATAAAAAAACTACCTTAAAGTGGATCACAGACCTCAATGTAAGTACTTAAATTATTAAACTCTTAGAAGAAAACATAGGGGTAAATTTTCCTGACTTTGGATTTGGCAAGCAATTCCTAGAAAAGACGTCAAAAGCACCAGGAACTAAAGAAAAACTAGAACTTTATCAAAATCAAAAGACACTACCAAGAAAGTAAGAAGACAGCCTACAGAATGTGAGAAAATATTTGCAAATCATGTATCTGATAAAGTTCTAGTATCCAGAATATATAAAGAATGTTTACAATTCAACAATAAAAAGATGACCCAATGTAAAAATGGGCAAAGGATTTGAATAGACATTTCTCCAAAGAAGATCTACAAATGGCCAATAAGCACATGAAAAGATACTGGACATCACTAATAATTAGGAAAATACAAACCAAAGCCACAAGAAAGATATCTACTCCGTACACACTAGGATGGCTACAATAAAAAATTGGAAACTAAGAAGTGTTGGTGAGGATGTGGAGAAATTAGAACCCTGCTGCATTGCTTGTGGGAAGGTAAAATGATGCAGCTGTTGTGGAAAACAGTTTGGCCATTCCTCAAAAATGTAAACATAGAATTATCATAAGACCCAGCAATTCCCCTTTTCAGCTTATACCCCAAAGAATTGAAAACACATATTCAAACAAATACTTGCATGCGAAAGCTCATTATTATTGTCACTCACAATAAGCAAAAGTGGAACAAGGTTTTCTTGTTTTTCCAACGATGAAGATGTATAAAGCAAAATTTGTTGTCAGTGTGTTTTGCAGTGGTGAGGTGAGTTGTTTGTGTTGTGTTGTTGTATGTTTATATGTGAATATTTGTGGTTGTGTGTTGTGGTTTGTGTGTTGTTGAGTGTGTGTTGTGTTAGTGTGTGTGTGGTGGTTGTGAACGCTGCGCGCCCGAATAGAGACTGGTGGGGATTGGGCTAAGTGGAAATGTGCGAGCTAGTGTTGGATTTGTGAGGTGATGCAGAAGCGCGCCGGAGAGAGCTGTGTGGGTCCAACGTGGTGGCGCGGATGGGTGACTATATGTGAAGTGCGAGACTGGTGATGTGTTTGTGGTGTTGGTGTAGAGTGTAAGAAGTGTGAGAGATAGATTAAAATTGAGTGTGTGGGGGTTTGGTATGCTAAAGTTAAAGGCACAAAATATCATATTTTATATAATTCCATTGGATGAAACATCTAAAACAGGTAAATCCATAGAGATAGAAAGACAACTAGTGGTTGCCAGAGGCTGGGGAGTGACTGCTTAATCCCTTTGGGGCCATAAAAATGTCTTGGGACTAGATAAAGGTGAAAGTTCACAATGTTGGATGGTACATGCCATGGCATTGTTGACCACTTTAAAATGGTTAATTTTACGATATGTGAATCTTACCTCAATTTTTTGAGAATTCTGATTCATTGTAAAAAAATACGAGGACCTACAACAAGCTTTGCTGCTCGTCCATGGCATTATGATCTATTCCAATATGGTTATGTATATTTGAACATTCAAAACTGGGGAAATATTTAAAAACTATTTGTTAATTCATCTTAAAATAACACAAATAAATATATAGAAATAAATATGTAAAAAATTTAA